AAGTCCAGGCGTGAGTGGGCGAGGAGGTAAGCGGACCGCTGCATCTTGCAGAAGGAAGATGAAGATGCCCAGAAGTGCTACCCATGCCTCTGCGACGACGTGCAGGAGCTGGTGTGAGCTGGGCCGGCTGTCGTCGGGAGGTTGCTGGCGGCCGTGCCGGTGTTATGCGCCGACCTGGGCGGCCAGGCCACTGGCGACGACGACGTCTTCCGACGTAATGTCGCCATGCACGCTGTCGCTTCGGACATCAAAATCCTGACGGCGTCCATGCCGCAGGTGCGCCAGGCCCAGAAGAGTGCGCGCCTTCTTCGGGTACGAGCTGGTGCAGCCGATGTGGCACCACCACGGCCGTTCCTCCCCTCACCTTCGACACCGTCGGCTTCGCAGTTCAGAGCCGCTGCTCAGCAGGCGACGCTGCTGCGAACGTCTGCCCCGCCCTTTCGACCTGGAGTTGGGGCACATCTGCAGTCGATGGGCGCCCTATCGGTCGGCGGGGGCCGCATGTTAGAGAACGCCCAGCCCGACTCGCAGCCCAACGCCGTGTCCAACCAGCTGCCCAACGCCATCCCCGACTCGCCGCCCGACGACGTGCTAGAGGATGCGGTGATAGAGGACCAGAAGGCCGCATCCAGCTGCGCCCCAGGGCCCCTGCGGGGGATGTCTTCTATGGCGAAAGGTGTGTCTTTGGAGCTGGCTGCTGTGACCGTGGACATGTAGTTCAAGCCCGTTATCTGCATGTGGCGCCCGCGATCGCGGGAGCGGCCGATGACAAAGCAGCAGGGCCTGGACGTGATGGGCTCACCCGCTGTGCTGCTCGCTGCCCTTGGTAGGGCCATTGCTGCTGTTCCGTAACAGAGCCCGCCCAACATTCAATACATCTTCAGCGGTGGAGACATCTTCGGCTTCTTTTCGTTTTGTGTTGCCGCCAGTTAGCGAGAGACTTTTCAATGCTGGTCGGGACGTGGAACTCATAGAGAGTTCATTGACGAAAACGCTTTGTATGAGGAGTCTGCCCAGTAGGTCTGGATCGTGACTGTGGTGGAATTGTCGTCGGCGCAGGTTCGGGTTCAGGTCTGTACTTCTTCTCGCTCTTCCTGGACGTCGCGTTCAGGACCGTGGTGGACGCGCAACTGTTGTTCTGAGGGAGGAGAGGCTGGAAAACCACGCAGGGCCCCTGTTAGAGGATTCTGTCCCGCCGTTAAGTAAGATGTAAGAGAAGAAGAAGAAGGAGGAGGAGGAGGACCCGTGTAAGCCCAAGAGTCATCAACGATATTGTCATACACCCTCCCTCCAAGCTCACTCTTCATAGGCTCCTACAGCGGTTCATCTCCACTGAGGGAACTGCTTCGTCGGACGTCAACCGTTGACGATTCTGAAGCATTCCAAAACATTGTTCTCGGAAGTTCACCACCGCGGATCAACATGACTGTTGCATCTTGACGAGCCTGAATCGTGCCAGAACGCCATTTCTGGGATTTTAACACCGCGAATCAACGTAACTGTCGCGCCAGCATAATCCAGAATCCTTCCAAAACACTTCTGGCACGTTGATCATGGGAATCCGTGAGAATCTTGTATTTTGTATACACGAATGTGCGCGGCGCTACGGTGAGAGCCACATTTTAGAAAACATCGCCCCCAATCCGTGACGCTCTTGCAAACTTGTAAAGCGGATGTGCGCGACGCTAGAGCGAGAGTCACATTTTGAAAGCCACACCTCAATCCGTAATTCTTGCAAGTTTTTCGAAGAGTCTGCGCGGCGCTAGGGTGAGAACCACACTTTGAGAAGAAACCGCCCTTAATCCGTGAAGCTCTAGTCGTTTTTTAGCTCCGGGGTCTTGAATGGTGACGCAATCTCAGGCGAAACGCCTGGCCCGCCCTAAAAACATGCCTCGGGATGCGGCATTGAGAAGTTCTTTATAAGGAAAAGGATGCAGGAGGAGGAGGAGGAGGAGGAGGATCGCACGCCACTGAGGGGAACAAAAAGAGAGTGATAGAGAGATAGACAGTCCGAAAAACCCTCCTGGGGGGGGGCTCAGGAGGAGGATGAGGAGGAGGAGGAGGAGGAGGAAGATGGCAAGGAAGAGGATGATGATAAGGAGGAGGAGGAGGAGGAGGAGGAGGAGGAGGAGGAGGAGGAGGAGGAGAGGAGGAGGAGAAGGAGGAGGAGGAGAAGGAGGAGGAGGAGGAGGAGAGGAGGGGAGGGGGAGGAGGAGGAGGAGGAGGAGGAGGGGGAGGGGGAGGGGAGGGGGAGGAGGGGGAGGGGGAGGAGGAGGAGGAGGAGGAGGAGGAGGAGAGGAGGAGGAGGAGGAGGAGGAGGAGGAGGAGGAGGAGGAGGAGGAGGAGGAGGATGAGGAGGAGGAGGGGGAGGGGAGGAGGAGGAGGAGGAGGAGGAGGAGGAGGAGGGGGATGGGGATGAGGAGGAGGAGGAGGAGGAGGAGGAGGAGGAGGAGGAGGAGGAGGAGGAGGAGGAGGAGGAAGGGGGAGGGGAGAGGAGGAAGGGGTAGGGGAAGGGGAGGGGGAGCGGAGGGTGAGGTTGAGGTGAGGGTGAGGGTGAGGGGAGGAGGAGGAGGAGGAGGAGAGGAGGAGGAGGAGGAGGAGGAGGAGAGGTGGAGGGGGATGAGGCAGGAGGATAAGGATGATGATGATGAGGAGGAGGAGGAGGAGGGGGAGGGGGAGGGGGATGATGATGATGATGATGATGATGCTGATGATGATGATGATGATGATGATGATGATGACGATGATGATGATGCTGATGATGATGATGGTGGTGATGCTGATGATGCTGATGATGGAGATGACGATGACGATGCTGATGATGTTGATGATCATTCTTGAGTGATGATGATGTTGATTATGCTTATGCTTGAGATGATGATGATTGTTACAGTGATGATGATGATGATACTCAGTATTGTTATGATGATGTTGATGATGATACTGATGATGCCGATGATGCTCATGCTGCTGATGATGATGCTGATGCTGCTGATGCTGATGATGACGATGCTGATGCTGATGGTGCTTACGACGACGATGATGATGCTGATGATGCTGATGATGCTGGTGTTGATGATGATGCTGATGATGATGCTGACGATGCTGATGCTGATGCTGATGATGATGATGATGATGATGATGATGATGATGATGGTAATGGAGATGGTGATGGTGCTGGTGGTGATGATGCTGATGCTGATGCTGATGCTGATGATGATGGTGATGGTGATGGTGATAATGATGATGCTGATGCTGATGATGCTGATGCTGATGATGATGACGAAGATGATGATGATGATGATGATGATGATGATGATGATGATGATGATGATGATGATGATGCTGATGCTGATGCTGATGATGATGATGATGATGATGATGATGATGCTGATGCTGATGCTGATGATGATGATGATGATGATGATGATGATGATGATGGTGATGATGATGATGATGATGATGATGATGATGAGGATGATGATGCTGATGACGATGCTGCTGCTGCTGATGAGGATGATGATGACGTTGATGAAAACGAGGATGATCATGCTGCTACTGGTGCTGATGCTGATGCTGATGCTGGTGCAGATGCCGATTCTGATGCTGCTGCTGATGAGGATGATGCTGATGCTGCTGATGCTGATGCTGATGCTGATGCTGATGCTGTTGATGATGATGCGGACGATGGGGATGATCATGCTGATGATGGGGGTGATGATGATGATGCTGATGCTGCTGATGCTGCTGATGATGATGCTGATGATGATGCTGATGCTGATGATGATGGTGACGATGATGCTGACGATGCTGATGATGCTGAATGTGGTGATGATGCTGCTGATGGTGATGATGCTGCTGATTATAATGACGATTATGCTGGTGATGATGCTGCTGCTGCTGATGATGATGATGATGATGATGATGATGATGACGATGACGATGATGATGGTGATGGTGATGATGCTTCTGCTCATGATGCTGATGATGATGCTGCTGATGATCATGATGATGGTTCTGATGATGCGGATGATGATGATGGTGGTGATGATGATGCTGATGCTGATGCTGATGCTGCTGATGATGCTGCTGATGATGCTGATGATGGAGATGACGATGACGATGCTGATGATGGATATGCTGATGATGCTGATGAAGCCGATGGTGATGATGATGCTGCTGATGATGCTGCTGATGATGATGATGATGATGATGATGATGATGATGATGATGCGGCTGATGATGACGATGCTGATGATTATGATGATGATGCTGATGATGCTGATGCTGATGTTGCTGCTGCTGATGATGATGAGGATAATGATGAGGAAGAGGATGGTGATGCTGCTGATGCTGATGATGCTGATGATGCTGCGGCTGCTGCTGCTGCTGCTGATGATGATGATGATGCTGATGCTGACGATGATGATGGTAATGATGATGATGATGATGGTGGTGGTGGTGGTGGTGATGCTGATGATGGAGATGAAGATGACGATGACGATGACGATGACGATGATGATGATGATGCTGATGCTGATGCTGATGCTGATTGTGATGATGATGATGATGGTGGATAATGATGATGATGCTGCTGATGATGATGATGATGCTGCTGCTGATGATGCTGATGCTGATGCTGTTGTTGATGATGATGATGATGATGATGATGATGATGATGATGCTGATGATGATGATGATGATGATGATGATGATGATGATGATGATGATGATGATGAGGATGATGATGATGATGATGATGATGATGATGATGATGATGATGATGATGATGATGATTAGGAGTAGAAGGAGGAGGAGGAGGTGGAGGCGGAGGAGGAGGAGGAGGAGCAGGAGCAGGAGCAGGAGCAGGACCAAGAGCAGGAGCAGGAGCAGGGGCAGGAGCAGGAGCAGTAGAAGGAGCAGGAGCATGAGCAGGAGCAGGAGCAGGAGGAGGTGGAGGAGGAGGAGAAGGAGGAGGAAGAGGAGGAGGGAGCAGGAGCAGGAGGAGGAGCAGGAGCAGGAGCAGGAGCAGGAGCAGGAGCAGGACGAGGAGGAGGATGATGAGTAGAAGGAGGAGGAGTAGGAGGAGGAGGACCAGTTTAAGCCCAAGAGTTACAACGATGTTGGAATACACCCTCCCTTCAAGCTCCGTTTTCATAGGCCACTACAAAGGTTCAGTTCCCCTGAGGGAACTGCCTCTTTGGAAGACAACCGTTTGAAGACCCTGAAGCATGCCAAGACATTGTTATCGGAATTCCAACGCCACGAATCAAACTGATTGTTGCGTCTTGACGATCCTGGGATTGCAGCACCGCGAGCCAATTTAACTGTTGCACCCTCAAAATCTCATGGGGCCAACATCGCAGAGCGGATTTCGTTCGGACACTAGAGGATGGGCCCGGGGTGTACTGGATAATTTTGTTCCGGATTTCGAGGTTAATGTCGTTTGTTTTTTTGGCTAGGACAAAAAGTCCACGCACAATTTACGTCGTGTTTCAGTCGCCGTTTCGGGGTATTGCATTGGTAGAAATCCGTGCAATAATTTGCTGCAGCACGTCTTTTCAAGGTCGGTGCAGTGAAACATCCAGAGTCCTGCCAAAACATTGTTTCTGCTGGTCATGGGAGACCGTGAACTTTTTTCATTTTTAATAAACGAATGTGCACGGCGCTAAGGCGAGAGCCACACTTGGAAGAGGAACCGCCCTCAAGCCGTGAAGCTCTTGCAAACTGTTGAACCGGATGTGCGCGGCGCTAAGGCGAGAGCCACATTAAAAAACGGATCGCCCTCAATCCGTGAACTCGAATGAGGCGGCGCTAAGGCGAGAGCGACATCTTGAAAACGACCCGCCCTCCATCTGTGAAGCTGTTGCCAATTTTTCAGCTTCAGGGTCATACATTGCCAGACAGTGTCAGGCGAAACGACCAGACCGCCCTGAAAACAGGCCTCGTGGTGTGGCAACGGGAAGTTTATTATAAGGAAGAAGAATGGAGGAGGAGCAGGAGGAGGAGGAGGGAGGAGGAGGAGGAGGAGGAGGACCAGGACCAGGACCAGGAGCAGGAGCAGGAGCAGGAGCAGGAGCAAGGAGGAGGAGCAGGAGCAGGGGCAGGAGCAGAGAGGAGGAGGAGGAGCAGCAGCAGGAGGAGGAGGGAGGAGCAGGAGCAGGAGCAAGGAGGAGGATGAGGAGGAGGATGGGGAGATCGGGCTTCCACTCTCTGCCCTAAAGCCGCGAGCGAGCGAGCGAGCGAGCGAGGAGGAGGAGCAGGAGCAGGAGGAGGAGGAAGGAGCAGGAGGAGAAGGCTGCGGCAGAGCGGCAAGCCTCGCCCACGCAGCCCCCGCACCGCGCCCGCCCAGGTGAGGGAGATGCAGGCGGCGAGGGCCGCGGAGGAGGCCGCCCTCGCGCCGCGCCGCCCCCGCCCGGCGCCCGCCCTCCGAGGATCGAGGATCCAGGCCGACGGGCCTCTGGGTCGGGGGCTCGCAGGGGGGGGGGGGCAGGGAACAGACCCAGCCGGACACTCGCACTTCCTTCCTTCACTGGCTGTTTGGGGCGATTTGCCTCTGACCCCACCTCTGCCCCTGACCCACCTTTGCGTCTCGAGTAGGGGGTCGGCAGCAGAATTGAGTTACCCCAACCTTGATTGGTCCGCCGGATCTGCGACATATGCGTATAATGCTTTTTGTAGATACGAGACATTCTACGTATTATTCGTAGGATCGACGAAACAACTTGGTAAACTCAAGTCTTGACGCTTCGCGTATCCCCACCAGCCCATACAGAAACGATGCCAATGAGAGCTGACGGGGGGAGAGCGGAAGAGACACGCATAGTCAAACAGCGAGGGAGGCTGGCCTGTGCGGCGTGTTGGGGCCATCTCCAGGCCCGCGTGGGGGGGTAGAAGAGGAGGAGGAGGATGAGGAGGAGGAAGAGGAGGAGGGAGGCAAGAGGAGACTGACGAGGAGAAGGAGAACGAGGATGAGGAGGACGAGGACTAAGAGAGTGAGGATGATGATGCTGCGATGATGATGATGATGATGAGGAGGAGGAGGAGGATGAGGAGGAGGAGAGGAGGAGAGGGAGGAGGAGGAGGAGGAGAGGAGGAGGAGGAGGAGAGAGGAGGAGGAGGAGGAGGAGTGGAGGTGGAGGAGGAGGAGGAGGAGGAGGAGGAGAAGAGGGAGGAGGAGGGGAGGGGGAGAGGAGGAGGAGGAGAGGAGATGAGGAGGAGAGGAGGAGGAGGAGGAGGAGGAGGGGAGGGGAGGAGGATGAGGAGGATTAGGAAGAGTAGGAAAGGAGGAGGAGCAGGAGGAGGAGAGGAGGAGGAGGAGGAGGAGGATGAGAGGCGGAGGAGGAGGAGGAAGAGGAGGAGGAGGAGGAGGAGGAGGAGAGTAGGAGGACGAGGACGAGGACGAGGGGAGGATGAGAACGAGGAGGAGCGAGGAGGAGGAGGAGGAGGAGAGGAGGAGGAAGGAGATGAGGAGGAGGAGGAGAGGAGGGGAGGAGGTAGGAGAGGGGAGGAGGAGGAGGAGGAGGAGGGGGAGGAGTCGGATCTTGGGGCCTCTTGGAGCACCTTGAGAGCCATTTTGAGCCAGCTTGGGCTATCTTGAACCATCTTGGAGGTCATCTTTGGCTCTCTGAGGCCGCTCGGGGGCCTCGTGAGGGCCACTTGAGGGCCTCTCGGGGGCCTCTTGGAGCCCTCTTGGGGCCTTCTGTGGCGCTCGTGGGACCCTCTTGGGGGCCTCTCAGGAGCCCTGGAGGACCTCTTGGGGCTATCTTGAATGCGGTCGGTCAAAAGAGGTGGGGTTCTCGATGTTCGTCCCCCCCTCGGGGGCAACGATCCTCGTGAGGGGTGTCAAGAATTGGCTCTCCCACTGGCCGAAAAGGACCCTCCGACACCTTGCGAAACCTCCCCTAGAAACCTCAGGGAGGGAAACCCTCCCCGAAGGGAAGAGGAGTTGTGGAAGAACAAAGAAATCACACTTAGACCACCCGTCGCCCAGAGGGCTGGTGGGATTACGTGGTTGATCCCCTGCTCGAGCGTCCCCCCGACTGAGGCCTCGAGGGTGGCTCTGGACTTTGGCCAGCAGCGAGGGCGAACGTCAGCGCGGTCGAACGCTGGCGGGCCGCGCGCGGCCAGGGCACACTCAGACAAGAGGGAAGAGAAGAGGGCGGCCGCGGAGGGGGAGCGCAGGGGGAGTTCGGTCGGCGTCAGCCCAACATCCTTTTACTATATGTGCGTCCCCCCCCAGGGGCGACGCGCGCACCGAGAGTTCTTATGGTACATGCGTCGTGGCGGGCGCTTTCTGGCCACACCGCTCGGGAAACGACTTACTACAAGATGGGTATACTATATGTTTGGGTCGGACGCGCGCCTCCCAGGAGGACATATAGTACTAGTACGTCTCTGTGCGCCAAATTCGGGGGGCAAGATATGGGAGCCTTGCGTACCTTCGTATTTCCGCACTAGCGTCGATTCGTGTCGGGTAATCGATGAGACAGCGCCGATTTAGCGCCGACTAGCGTCGGTTAAGCGTCGGTTAAGCGTCGGTGTAGCGTCGGTGTAGCGTCGATTAGCGTCGACCAGTGTCGAATCGCAAGAGCCAACAAGATGGTATGAGAGGCTCCCATGAGATGCCACCGAAGGGGGGGCCTGCGGCGTAGAGAGTCCACACCACGAGCAGTGCGTGGGCAGCCTCAGGTACCGAAAACTGGTGCACTGCAAGGTGCGCGGTCAATCCCGAGGATGGCTCCAGACATGCACCTAAACAAGGGTCCTGCACATCGGTACGATCGAGATGGGTACGGAAAGACATGGTACGAAGACAGACAGCAGCTCCTGTCTATTTCGAACAAACTTGGCTGTCGGCGTCGCCGCGGACTTTGTCCATTTGAGACAGAAGGCCGCCTGCCCAACTGCAGCCGCTTTCGGTTTTGGACAACGCTTGCTGTTGGGCGGCGTGCCCATTGAGGAGGAGGAGGAGGAGGAGGAGGAGGAGGAGGAGGAGGAGGAGGAGGAGGAGGAGGAGGAGGAGGGGGAGGGGGAGGAGGAGGAGGAGGAGGAGGAGGAGGAGGAGGAGGAGGAGGAGGAGGAGGAGGAGGAGGAGGAGGAGGAGGAGGAGGAGGGGGAGGAGGAGGAGGAGGAGGAGGGAGGAGGAGAGGAGGAGGAGGGGAGGAAGAGGAGGCGGAGGAGGAGGAGGAGGAGGAGGAGGGGGAGGGGGATGAGGAGGAGGAACGGGCCGATCCCTGGCCCCAGGAGCGGTGTGTCTTCAGGCCTCCCTGGCCAGCTGCAGGAGGGCGTGTGCACCGATCCCGGCGGGGCTGGGCCTGGCTAGGGCCGGCGTGGGCGCACGGCGGCTGCCGTCGAAGGGAAGCCTTCCGTCGGGCCCGTCCTCCTGCAGGGGGATTTTGGATGAAAGATGAGAGGTACCCCCCTAAAAAATACCCCCCAAATGGCAAAACAAATACCCAAGAAATAGTCCCCAAATGATTGTTTGACCATTTTTGAATATCCCCCCTGTGGAGGGACAGGCCCGACAAAAGGGAAGCCGTCCGACGCACGATTTTCCTGGAGTTCCTCGCGGATTTCCCGGATCGGCGCCGTGCCCCCCGGCGCCCCCCACGTGCGTCGGGCGCGGCAGAGGGGGGGTGCTGACTATAGAGGGGGGTGGATGTCATGGCGGGGGCCAGGGCGTCTCCCCAGATCTCATGGCGCCTCCTCTTAGTCAATGACGTCCCTAGAGGGGGGCGAAGACTAGGGGGGGGGTGGATGTCATGGCGGGGGCCATGACATCTCCCCAGATCTCATGGTGCCTCCTCTTAGTCCATTACGTCCCTGGAGGGGGGCGATGAGTAGGGGGGGGGGTGTAACTCATGGTGGGGGCCATGATATCTCCCCAGATCTCATGGCGCCCCTTCTCACATTACATCCCTGGCCCCCCTGCTGGGCAGCGCACGAGCCGCCGGCCATGAGTTGCGCCCCCCCCTCGTGGACGCCCCCCTCCGGGCCGCCCCCCGCGTGCCAGGCAGGGGGGCCCAGCGCCGATGCGAGCAGCCCGTGCGGTTTAATTTTTCATCCCAAATCCCCCCGTAGGAGGACATGCTCGACTTAGACTCCTCTTCGGAGGGTCGCCCAAGAGGGTCCCAAGATGGGCCCAGACCGCGCCGGCGAGGCCTGGGACGGGGCAGCGCGCCGGCACGGGAGCCCACGCCACGTCCCGTGGATCCCCTGCGGGCAGGACGAGGCATCCAGGGGTCTCCTCCTCCTCCTCCTCCTCCTGATGCTGGCGGCGGCGGCGACGGCGACGGCGCCGAGCGGCGCCGCGCGAAGGAGGGGAGCCCAGACTGGAGCCCTGAACTCACTCGTCCTGCGGCAGCTTTCGAGCCGTTTCGCTCCGTGAGGGTCCTGGGGCCCGAAACGGAGCAGAATCGCCCGTCGTAGAAAGATGCCATGCCAGGATCTCAGGGAGGACGCCCATCAACCTCGGGCCTCGAACCCCAACACACCGAGGCCAGCCATCCTCAGCCGTGACTTTTTCACAACGTGGCTCCCCAGAGGTCTGGACCTCTTCCCAGGGACCAGCATTTTCACCCCGTGTCGTTTCCTGACGGTCCCAGGGCCTGTCGAGGGTCCCCACAGGCCAAAATTGGGCTCCGTTTGGGTTTTTCTACGAGATGCTGTTTGGGGGACCTCCTCCCGGCGGCCGACGCCGCCGCCGCCGCCGACGACGCCGCTGACGACGCTGACGGCAACGCCGCAGGCACCGACTGCGACGACGGGATATCGACAGCGACGACGGTGATTCGGATGCGGCGATAGGGGCGAACAGCGTGGGGGCGACAGTGTTTGCCTGGCAGATCCGCCGAAAGTATGGACCACCGGCGCCCTGGGCCATTCGCCCCCGTCGTCGCCCCCGAGTGAGGGGCACCTCTCGCCGAGCGGCGGCGGCGAGCGACGAGCGGCGGCGGGGCGGCGGCGAGCGGCGAGCGGTGCGGCGGCGCGGCGGCGGCGCGGCGCCAGCGGCGAGCGGCGAGCGGCGAGCGGCGAGCGGCGCGGCGGCGCGGCGGCGGCGTGGCGGCGGGCGGCGCCGCCCCGTCGGAGAGGCGGAGGGCCTCCCGCCGGCGCGGCCGCCGCTGCCGCGGGGCGCCGAGGCGGCCGCTGGGGGGTGGCCGCGCGGCTTGGCCCCGCTTCGCCGCCCTTCCCGCGTCGCTCCTCGCCTCCTTCCCCTCCCCCTCCCCTTCCCTCCTCCCCTGCCCTCCCCTCCCCACCTCCTCCAACCCCTCTCTCCCTCTTTGCCCCCCACCCCTGCTCTCCTCTCCCCCTCCCCCTGCTCTTCCGCACCCGCCCCCCTCCCTCCATCCTTTTTGTCCTCCCTCCTGTCCTCCCTCTCCCTCGTCGTGGTGCCGCCGCCGCCGTGTGGCTGCCGCCGCCGTCGTCGTCGCCGTCGTCGCTGCTGTCGACGTGGTCGCTTCGGTCGTCGTCGTCGTCGTCGTCGCCGTCGTCGTCGTCGTCGCCTTCGTCTTCGTCGTCGTCGTCGTCGTCGTCGCACATCGACGATGTGACGGCGATGCGTTGCCGATTGCTTGTCGACGTCGGCTCCTCTTCCTTCTTATCCCTCCTGAGTCTTTCCCTTCGAGCGTGCCAGTGGCGGAGGATTAGGAGGAGAAGGAAATTTGTGGGAGAGGAGTGGGAGAACGAAGAAGGGGAAGAGCTGTTGTGCACCTTGGCGCCGCCGACCCGATTCGGTTCGATGCCGCCTCCGTACCAATGCTTCCCGATCTGACGCACATTCCGATCCGATCCGATCTCCCAGTTAGATGACGATTGATCCTGCAATCACAGCTTGAGAGTTCTCTTGCAGCGACTGTCGCACATGGCGGCCGTCTTTGGCAACCACGTCGCCCACTCCCACTTGCCCACTCTTCCCTCTCTGCTGTCAGCCCCCTTCACGTTTCATGGAGCAAGCTCTGGAACCTCACGCTTTGCTTGTCGGTTGATCTGCGTGGTCGTTGGTGTAAAAACAGAACCACAGCTTGAGAGTTCTTCGGTGCTATCGACCCCCCCCCCCCCGTGCAGGGCGGCCAGAGCCCGCCAGGGCCTGCCGAGCCAGAGTTGGCCTGGACTTGGCCTCGTAAGGCGTGCTACCTGTACCCGTACCTTCTTTTTGAGCCTGGAGCTTCGGACCTCGAGCCTCGAGCCTTGGACCTCGAGCCTCGAGGCTCGATCCTCGAGCCTCGATCCTCGAGCCTTGATCCTCGAGCCTTCATTCTCGACCCTCGACCCTCGAGCCTCGAGCCTCGAGCCTCGAACCTCGAGCCTCGAACCTCGAGCCTCGAGCCTCGAGCATCGAGCCTCGAGCCTCGAGCCTCGAGCCTCGAGCCTCGAGCCTCGTTCCTAGGTCGAAGCCCGCCGCTGCGCCCAGACGCGGCTGCACGAGCTGGCCCTCGGCCGGGCCGCGGAGGAGGCGCAGCGCAGGGCCGAGGCCGGCCCGGTCGCCTTTCTTTTCCGGGCGGCGGCTCCTCGCCGTCGCCGCCCTCGCCGGCCGAATGGGCGCCAGGGTGGCTCGTCGCCCGAGTGGCCTTCCCACTCGAGCGACGAAAGGAACGGGGTCGTCTTCACCGACGTTCCAGGCCTCCCAGATGGGGTCCGAGCAGATGGGGCCGGAAGAGCGCGCCGCGTCGCCGACGCATCGGCGATGCGGCCCGAGGGGGAGCATCGATGTTCTCCACGCTGATGGCGCCGATGCCTCGCCGACGTCGCGGATGCCTCGCCGATGCCATCGTGCAGCGCGGTCCTCGGACCCCATCGACTCGGACCCCAGCTCGGAGGCCTGTGGGCGCGTGAGCGCCCTCGTTTCCAGGGCAGCGTGCCGCGCTGGCGACCCGCGTACCAGGAGGGAACAAAAACACACAGACACAATTGATCGTCGATTCCCTAGAAAATATGGGAAAATATGGGAAGTGGGGGGGAAGACAAAAACCCAGAAAATATGGGAAAATATGGGGAATCTGGTTAATTGTGTCTCTTTATTTGTGTGCTCCAGCTCCCCTTCAGCGTAAGCCACCCCGTACGGTCGCTGTGTCATGTCGTGTAAGACTCGTTTCGGGTCTGCGCTCACATGGATGGCCACGGCGGTTGCTGAGGGGATAGTGGGGCTGGGGACGCTAAGGTGGGTCATACCTGGCCTGACCTAGCTTGTAGGTGGGTTGCAGCTGCTCTGAGTGGTTTGGGGGAGTGCGGCTCTGGGCTAGGTCAATGAGGTCAGGTATACCGACCTTAGCATCCCCTTCTAACTTCTAACCTCCTTCCTGAGATGACCGTGGGGGATGCTAAGGGGGGCATGGGTGGGTTACAGGTGCCCTGAGTTGTTTAGGAGGTGAATGACCTGAGCAAAGTGGGCTCCGCCCACTTAGCGGAATGAGCAAACCCCCTAAACCATTCAGGGCATCCGCAACCTAACTTAAAAGCTAGACCTTAGCATCCGCTTCGAACTCCCTATCCCCTTAGCATCCGCCGCGGTCATCTCAGTATCCCCTTAGCAACCCTTGCGGTGATTTCAGCATACGTGCTCGCGTCGTAACATAAAGTCACGGCGGAGGGCTTTTGCAATTTTTCGGTTTCCGGGGGAGGAACTGCAAGGCTCTGGGGTCTGAACAAGCACCAGGCGCGTGGGCTCGGTTAACGAGGTCAGATATTCCAACCTTAGCACCCGCTTCTAAATTTCTAACCTCCTCACTGAGATGACCGTGGGGGATGCTAAGGGGGGCACGGGTGGGTTACAGGTGCCCTGAGTTGTTTAGGAGGTGAATGACCTGGGCTAAGTGGGCTCCGCCCACTTAGCGGAATGACCTAAAACCGTAAACCATTCAGGGCATCCGTAACTTACTTAGAAGGTAGACCTTAGCATCCGCTTCTAACTCCCTATCCCCTTAGCATCCGCCGCGGTCATCTCAGTATCCCCTTAGCAACCCCAGCAGTGATTTCAGCATACGTGCTCGCGCCGTAACATAAAGTCACGGCGGAAAGCTTTGCAATTTTTCGGTTTCCGGGGGAGGAACTGCAAGGCTCTGGGGTCTGAACAAGCACAGAGCGCACCTACATTGCTCAGGAGGGGACGCCAGACCACAGAGCCCGCCTGCCAAAGCCTCCGAAACGGCCCTCCTTTGAGGGCCTCCTCCTCCTCCTCCTCCCTTTCCCCCTCCTCCTCCTCCTCCTCCTCCTCCTCCTCCTCCATTCCTTTCCCTTATAAATAACTTCTCACTGTCGCACCCCGAGACCAGTTTTTAGGGCGGGCCAAGCGTTTTGCCTGAGACTTCCTGACCATTTTTTTACAATTCTGAAGCATAACGAGTGGCAATAGCTTCACATATGGAGGGCGGGTGGTTTTCAAAATGTGGCTCTCAGCTTAGTGCCGCGCACATTCTTTTTAAGACAAGTGCAGGAGATTCACGGATTGAGGGCGGGTCGTTTTCAAAATGTGGTTCTCGCCTTAGCGCGGCGTTCATTCGTCTTCAACATTAACAAGAGTTTCACGGATGCAGGGCGGGTGGTTTTCAACATGTGGCTCTCGCCTTAGCGTGGCGCACATTCTTTTTAAGCATTTGCAAGAGTTTCACGGATTGAGGGCGGGTGGTTTTCAAATTGTGGTTCTCGCTTTAGCGCGGCGCACGTTTTTTGTCACGTTGCAAGAGCTTCACGGATTGAGGGCGGGTCCTTTTCAAACTGTGACTCTCGCATTAACGCGGCGCACATTCGTTTTTAACATTTTGCAAGAGTTTCACGGGTCTCATCATCAACGTACCAGAAGTGGTGTTTTGGAAGGATTCAGGATTATGCGGGTGCAACAGTTACGTTGATTCTCTGTGTTGAAGTCGTAAGAACGGTGTTCTGGCACGATTCAGGATCGTCAAGACGCAACAGTCAGGTTGATCCGTGGCGCTGGAATCCCGAGAACAATGTTTTGGCATGCTTCAGGGTCTTCAAACGGGTATCTTCCAACGAGGCAGTTCCATCAATGGAGATGAATCGTTGTAGGGGCCTGTGAAGAGGGAGCTTGGAGGGAGGGTTTACTCCAACATCGTTGATGACGCTTGGATTTACTCTGGTCCTCCTCCTCCTTCTCCTCCCCCCTCCTCCTCCTCCTCCTCCTCCTCCTCCTCCTCGTCCGCCTCCTCCTCCTCCTCCTCCTCCTCCCCCTCCTCTACCTCCTCCCCCTCCTCCCCCTCCTCCTCCTTTTCCTCCTCCTCCTCCTCCATGTCCTGCTCCTTCTCCTCCTCCTCATTCTCCTCCTCCTCCTCCTGCCCTCCTCCCTCCTGTCCTTTATCCTCCTCGATCCTCCACTCCTCCTCCTCCTCTTCCTCCTCCTCCTCCTCCTCCTCCTCCTCCTTCTCCTCCTCCTCCTCCCTCGTCGCGCAGGAGGCTGGCGCCCTCGACCGGGCCCTCGGCCGCGCGGAGCGCGGCGTGGCGGGGCTGCAGGCCGCCCTCAGCGGCCGCGGTCCGGGGGCGGGTCCGTCCGCGGTGGACGTGTGGCCGCCGCACGCCGCGGAGGAGGCGCCCTCCGCCCTGCCGCCCCCTCTCGATCGAACTGCGAGGCTTGAAGCTCGAGATTTTTGGGCATCTTCGTCGGTTCGCGGCGGCCTTCCGGCCTCGGTATGCTCTCCAGCAGCTGCGCCTAGTCGATGTCGTTCTGCGGGTGTCGGGGTCGCCCCGCGCGGCCGCCCGACAGCAGAGTTATGGCCCCAAACCTAAGGGGCAACGTCAGTAGGGGACCAGGGGAGGTAAGTCCAGAGGAGGGTGAGTTGAGAGCACGATGCCCCCATCAATCGATCGAGGTTCGATCGAGACTTAGGCTTTCGATTTCGGCCTCACAGCCCGTTGTTGGGACCCGGGGCCATCAGGAATGGATATGGGGCGAAGAACTACCCCCAGGGACTGGGTCGGGGCTTTGGAGGGCCGCGCACCGAGAGAATCGCATCGTCAGAAAGGACATGCCCCGGAGGCGGCGCCGTGGAGGAGGGGCCCTTCCCTTGCCTGCCCCCCCCCCCCCCGATCGATCGACGAGGTCTGCGTCGATTCGGTCGCGATCCGATCCGCTTCCGAGCAGATCCGATCTCGCGAGTCGGTCCAGCTCATCCGCGGACGACCTGTATGCACCGTGCCGCGTTGGCGCCTCTCGAGGCGTTGTCGATCCTGGACCGAGGAACGGCACGGTGCACCGTTCTGCGGCCCTCCTGGCCGCAATTGTGTGCACCGTACCGCACCGGAGCGTGGCCTGAATGAGATTGTGTTTTTTTCCAGGGTCTGGGGATACCCAGGGTTGTGGAATCCGTCCGCTCCCCCCCCGATATCCTGACCTTGTCGGTTGCGTAGGTCTGACGGGGATACGCAGTATTGGTGCGCGCGGGCATGCGGGGGGCCGCCCACGGCGAAACGGTTAGGTTACTGGCCGTCAACTCCCTTTCTCCCCCAACGGATGGCTTAAGTTATCGCCGAAGAACGAATAAGGATTTCGAGGGGGCCCAGGCATGGTGCAGTCAACGCGCACAGTAAGGATGAGCGCCCTTCCAATGTTACCATTGCATCCTTTCCCTTCGGCCCAACTTTGGCCACTGTCGCTGGCGACATGGGTGCCGCAGGCAACCCTGCATCGGCAGGACCTCGTGCGGTTGGCTCCTCGTGGGCCGGGGAGCGCGAGCGGCCACTTCCTGGCCTCGCTGGAGAGGAGCGGCCCCCCACAGCCCAGGCCGCGACATGCGCACCGCCATCCCCGCGCCCTGACATGGGCGTTGTTGTGGCCCATCCTTGGCCATTGCCTCCTCATCGTGCGTCGCTGTCGTAAGCTCAGGCCTGTCTTGAGTTGGGCCTGTCCCTCTACAGGAGGAATACCCAAACATAGCTGAAGAATTGTCTGGGGACGATTTTTGGACAGTTTCTCTTGGATGTGTCTTGATTATTCTTCATTTTTCCTGCAAGTTCCGCCTTAGAAGGACACTCCCGACCTAAGGCCTGTCGTCGTCGCTGTCGTCGTCGGCGTCGTCGCCGCCCCTCCTCGCCCGCGAGGCCGCGGCGGACGCGGGGACTGGTGCCGAGGCGGCGGGAGCGCTGGCGAGGGCGGCCCTGATCGCGGGGCAGCACCGGGCCCAGGAGCAGCGCCCCGAGTCATCAGGGCAGGGATGGACGATAACGGCGATGCCGACGATGATGCTGGTGATGACGGACGATAATGCTGGTGATGACGATGGTGGTAATGATGACGATGGTGGTGATGGTGGTGCTGGTGATGGTGGTGGTGATGATGATGACGACGGTGATGATGATGATGATGATGATGATGATGATGATGCGGTTGATGACGATGGTGGTGGTGATGATGACGACGATGATGATGATGCTGACAATGATGATACTGATGTTGACGTTGATGATGATGGTGATGATGACGACGATGATGATGATGATGATGATGATGATGATGATGACGTTACTGGTGATGCTGATGATCATTTGCGATGATGATGGAGGCGACGACGACGACCGATGATGATACTTGTGATGATGGTGATGATGATGATGGTGGCGGTGATGCTCAAGATGCTGATGACGACAATGATGATGATGAAGAAGATGATGACGACAGTGGTAGTAATGATGACGATGCTAACGTGGATGATACAGATGATGATGGTGTTGGCGGCCATGCTGATGCGGATGCTGATTATACGGATGATGACGACGGTGTTGATGCCGCTGCTGATGATGTGGATGATGTTGATGGCGATCATGGTGATGATAATGCTGGTGTTGACGATGGTGATGATGATGGTGGTGATGATGATGAGGATGATCACAATGATGCTGATGTAACGATGATGATGGTGATGATGATGGCGATGATGCTGCTGATGCTGACGACGATGATGATGATGATGATGATGATGATGATGATGACGCATATGATGATGATGCTGATGCTGATGATGATGATGATGATGCCAACGATGATGATGATGCTGATGATGATGTTGATAATGATCATGATGCTGACGATGCCGATGACGACGATGATGCTGATGATGATGCGGCCGAGGATGATAATGAGGATGATGACGATGCAGAAGATGATGCTGACGATGATGACGATGATGCTGATGATTGAAATGACGGTGATGATGCTGGTGACGATGATGGTAACGATGACGATTATTAAGTTACTGGTAATGCTGATGACCATGATTCTGGCAATGATCCCGAAGACAATGACGAAGACACTGATGAGGATGGTGCTCAATATTAAATCGATGATGACGACGATGATGATCACTGTGGCAACGGTGACATTGATGCTGACGTGGATGGTAATGATGAGGATGACGACGCTGAATATGAACATGATGATGATGCCGATGAGTCTGATAATGATGATTACGAGGACGCCGATGACTACGAAGAGGATGATGATGCTGATGTTGATGATGCTGCTGATGATGATGCTGATGTCGACGACGATGATGGCGATGATGATGATGATGATGATGATGCTGACGCTGCGTGTGATGGTTATGATGTTGCTGAAGACGGCGGGAATTCAGACTATGCTGATGGGATGGTGATGGTGATGTGGATGATGATGATGATGATGCTGACGAACATTCTGACGACGATGACGGTGACGATGATGTGGATGACGAAGGTGGTGATGATGTTGCCGACGTTGGCAATAGTGATACTGATGATGACTGACGTTGCTGATGATGGTGATGTTGATGACGACGATGACGACGATGACGTTACTGGTGATGCTGACGAGCATGATGCTGGCGATTCTGATGACGAAGACGAGGATGATGATGTTGACGACGCTCAAGCTGATGATGACATCGAAGATGCTGATGACAGTGACAATCATGATGTTGATGCTGACATGGATGCTGAGAAGGATGATGAGGGTGATGATGATGAGGATGGTGATGATCATGGTGGTGATGATGATAAGGCTGAAGCTGCTGCTGATGATGATGATGAAGGTGATGCTGCAGATGATGCTGGCGACGACGACGACGCCGACGGTGATGATGATGAGGCTGATGATGAGAATGATGTTTACGATGATGTAGCGCTGTGACTGATGATGATGATGGTAATGGTGGTGGTGATGGTGATGATGATGATTATGATGCTGATGTCGCTGAAGACGATGACGGTGAAGACGATGCTTGTGACGATGATGGTGATGCTACTGATGATCATGATGCTGATGTATATGAAGATGACGATGCTCATGCTGATTCTGCTGACGACTCTGACGATGATGAAGATGTCGACTGATGATTCTGATCGTGATGGTGATGGTTGCGCTGATGCTGCTTTTGAGGACGATGCTACAGATGATCACGACGATGATGACGACCACTATGTTGATGACTAGACTGGAGATTCTGATGCTGCTGAATATGAAGACGACGGCGACGTCGATGCTGATGCTGATGACGATTGTGATGCTGATGATGCTGATGATGATGATGATGACGATGATGATGATGATGATGGTGGTGACGTTGTGGACGATGATTATGATGACGATGTTGCTGATAATGTGTTGGTGATTACGATGCCGATGCTGCTGCTGCTGATTTTGATTATGATGCTGATCCTGACGATGATGATGATGATGATGATGATGATGATGATGATGATGATGATGATGATGATGACGGTGATGATGATAATAATGATGCAGATTATGACGATGGTGATGCGGAAGACGTGGACGGTGATGCCGACGATGACGAGGATGATGGTGGTGATGATGACGACTATGATGCTGAAGATGATGACGACGAGGATGATGATGATCCTTGTGACTATGATGACCACGACAATGATAATGATGCAGGTATCGGTGATGAAGATTATGATGATGATGATGATATGATGACGGTGATGATGATGATGCTGATGACTGGGACGATAATGATGACGACGCTGATGATGGTGATGATGACGACGACGATGACGATGATTATGCTGCTGATGACGCTGCTGATGATGATCATTATGATGTTTATGATGATGTTGATGTTGATGACGATGACGATGAATTTGATGTGGAACGCGTCGACTGATGATGATGACGTGGATGATGATGGTGATGATGATGACAATAATTGTCATACTGGTGACGCTAGGGATGATGAAACTGATGACGATGAAGATGATGCTGATGACGATAAGGATGCTGATGATGCTGCTGCTGATGAAGATGATGATGATGGTGCTGTTCATGATGGCGGTGATGATGATCATGCTGATCATGATGATGCTGATGCTGATGCTGCAGCGGAGGATGACGAATACGACGATGACATGATGATGATGACGATGATGATGATGATGATGCTGATGATGATGATGCTGATTATGTTAATGACGACGACGATGATGATGATCATTATTATTACCTTTTATGATCATCATAGATTTGATTTATATTATTCGTCATAATAACATTTCCATTCTTATCACAATTATCATCAGACTGTTAGTCTTACGCGTATAATTGCGACGGCTGCGCCGATGATGATGAGACGAGGGTGATAATGACGATGCCGAGGATGATCGATAGCATGAGCATGATGATGCAATCTCTGACTCGTAGCTCTGTTACTGCTGCTGCTGCCAATCATGATGTCGATGCTGATGATGGTTGTGCCGACTGTGATGGTGATGTTGGTGCTGACGATGATAAAGGCGATGACGCTGACGACGATGACAGTGACGGCGATGACGATGATGCTGCTGATGATGGTGATGATGTGGATTATGACACGGCTGACAAAGATGATGATAATGATGATGATGTTGATGATGATGTTGTTGATGATGTTGATACTGATGGTGATGGCGAGGATGATGATGATTATGACGATGATGCTGTTGATGGTGATGGAGATGATGACGACGATGTTGCTGGTGATGATCATGACGATGATGATGATGTTGATGATGATGATGATGATGATGATGATGCTGAAAACTGATGGCGATGACGACAATGATGATGACGCGGATGATTATGACACTGATGGTGATGACGATGGCGATGATGATGATGATGATGATGACGGTGGCTATGCTGATGATGTTGATGATGATGATGACGATCATGAGAACGCTGCAGATGACGATGGCGACGACGATGATTTTGATGACGATGATGGCGATGGGGATGCTGACGATGTGGATGGCTATGATGGTGCTGCCGACGATGCTAATTTCAAAGATGGTTGTTTGCTGGTGGCGACGACGATACTTGTCCTGCTGAACGTGATGACTGTGATGACGTTGTTGACTACGATGACGACGGTGATGCTGATGAGGATGACGATGACGATGGCAATGATGGCAATGATGACGCTAATGATGATGGTGATGGTGATGCTGATGCTGATGATGAGGCGGATGGTGACGATGGCGTGGATGATGATGGCCACGATCGTGATGCTGCTGAACATGGTAATGACGATGAGGATGATATTGTGGATGTGGATGATACGGATGTCGATGACGATCATGATGAAGGTGAAGACGCTGATTTTGTTGATTATGTGGGTTAGGCTGATGATGATGGTGATGGTGATAATGCTGCTGACGACGATGGGGCTGATGACGATGATTTCGATGATGGCGATGATACTGATGATGCTGATGATGGTGAAGGTGATGATGATGATGATGACGATGAAGATGCTGACTGTGCTGATGGTGATGATGCTGATGATCATGGTGGTGGTGGTGGTGATGTTGATGACGATGATACTGATGATGCGGCTGATGCTATTGATGTGACGATTGCGATGGCGATGGCGATGATGATGGTGATTGTGCTGATGACGTTGATGCTGCCGATGTTGACGATTACGTGGATGATGATAGTGATTATCATGACGATGATGACGAAGATGGTGATGATGACGCTGATGATGGTGGTGATGCTGATTGTAGTGATGTTTATGCTGATGGTAGTGATTTTCATGATGATGTCTAGGATGATGATGGTGATGGTGATGGTGATGGTGATGATGAATATGATGGCACCGATGATGATGACGACGATGTCTCGATGCTGATGACTTGGACGACGATGATGGTCATGCTGATGTGGTTATGATCATGACGACGATGATGACAATCTCAGGGTGAGCACTTGCATGCGCATTATGATGATATTCATTGATGATGATTCTGCTGCTGCCTCTGCCGATGATGATGCTGACGATGATGATGATGCTGACGATGATGACGCTGATGATGATGACGACGACTATGATGATGATGATGATGATGATGATGATGATTATGATGATGATGATGATGATGCTGAAGATGAACATGATGATGATGATAATGCTGCTGATGACGATGCTGGTAATGATGATGATGATAATGATGATGCTGCTGCTCATGATGCTGATTCGGATGATGATGATGATGATGATGATGATGATGATGATCATGATCATGAGTAAGATGATGATGCTGATGATTATGATGCTGATGAAGATGATGCTGAATATGATGCCGACGACGATGCTGACGATGATGATGGGACGATGTCTATGTGGATGATGGTGACGATGATGTTGTTGTTGTTGCTGCTACTGCTGCTGCTGCTGTTATTGTTGTTGTTGTTGATGATGATGATGATGATGATGATATGATGATGATGATGATGATGATGCTGATGATGATGATGATGATGATGATGATGATGATGATGATGATGATGATGATGGCTTTCTCGGGTCACATGTAGGGTCCCCGAACAGGGCTCTCTTGGGACCATAGCTCGGACTCCCACGAGTTCTTCGGGGGCCTCCCCGCGGCGCCGCCGGAAGCCGGGGGTCTCGGTGCGATTGGACCTCGAGGAAGAGGGAGCAGCATAAATATACACTTTCGGAGCTCAGCGCGTGGATTACTTGGATCCTGCACAGGAAGCCCTGGGCAGCGCCTCTCGCGCCGCCCCTGGCGCGCTCCGCTCGCCAGGGAGGGGGCCCAGCGCCGATCCAAGACATCCGCGCGGTTCTCCGAAGGTTTATGCTGATGCAGTTCTCTGTTCCTGACGAGATCGGAACAGGTCCCAGACCCCTCGCGTAGTAAAAACATTATCCTGGCGAAGGACCCAACCATATGCAGTTGTGGGTACCGCAATTGTGAATAGCTTCTTCGGTGGAACTCCCTGTGGGGCCACGAAGCGCTGTACTGGGTGGGGGGGACGCATGCGGGCGGTTGCACCAGGGCCTTCGGTGAAGCTCCCTATGGGGCCACGAAGCGCTGTACTGGGTGTGTGGGACGCATGCGGGCAGTTCCACTGGGGCCTTCGGTGGAGCTGCCTACGGGGCCACGAAGCGCTATACTGGGTGTGGGGGACGCATGCGGGCGATAGCATTGAGGCCGTCGGTGAGCTCCCTATGGGGCCACAAAACGTTGTTTTGGGTGTGTGAAAATGCCTCACTGGGTGTGTGGAAAGCATGCGGGCGGTCCCACTGGGGGCTTCGGTGGAGCGCCCTATGGGGCCACGAAGCGCTGCCGCGAGAGGTCCCCCCCCGCCAGAGGAGCAACGGGCCGAGGAGGCGCTTCGCGGGGCGGCGGCGGACGAGGCCCAGCGGAGGGGCGCGCTCTCCGCGAGGGGTGGGCCTCCTCGTTCTCGCCCTCCGTCCTCTTCGCCGTCCTCGCCTCATCGTCTTCGGCTCGTCGTCCTCCCGTCCTCCTCGGCCTCCTCCTCGTCGTACTCTGCTCGAGCTCCGCAAGGGACGAGCTGTTAACTCAGCGCTGTCATCACAGGTGCGCCGACATGCCCTGATAGTCCGGCCAGGGTGTCACAGTCTGGGCGGCGCAGGCGGAGTGCTCCGCCTCCGAAGGGGGGCGCGGCCCAGCACAGCACCGCGCGGGCCGTCCCCCCCCCGCGCGCGCGCGCCGGGCTGCCGCGCGCTGGGGCCTGCTCCGTACGCGTGGGCGAAGAAGCGCCACCCTCGCGGCGCACCACGCGGCGCGTCGTGAGCCACCGCGGCAACAACCAGATCCTCCTCCTCCTTCTCCTCCTCCTCCTCCGCCTCCTCTTTAGCCCGCGAAACAGGGCGCGGCCCCGAGTCGCGCAGGGCTTGCTCCGCGGGCGCGCGCGCGCGCGTGCTGAGCTGCCGCGCGCAAGGGCCTGCCCGCCGAGCGTGGGCGACGAATCGCGCCGCCGTCGCCCTCTCTCCAGCGCGGTGCGGGGTGAGGTCATCGCCGCGCGGGGGTGGCGTGTGAACCACGGCGACGATACAGGCTTCGGGCGGACGTTTGGAAGGAGTCAGCGCTGCCAGGGTTCCGCCAATCCCTCCCGAGACGCGTCGCGTGTGTTCAACGTCATTTCTGCATCATCTCATCCACGCCATGATAACGTTTGGATGATCGTACGTCGCTTTGTCGGCGTCGCAAGCAGCGCGATATTACCCGGGGAACTTTCGGTGTCGAGGTTGGAGGTTTTCGAACGTTTTCGTCGGCACCTCGGTGTTTTTCCAGCCTCGAGATACTCTTCAGAGACTGCGTCGCCGAGAGCGTTCCAGGGGTGCCCGGATCGTCCAGAACGGCCGCCGGGGAGCTGGGCTAACTATGGCACGAAAGCCAGGGGGCAGCACTGGGGGCGGGGATGCGTCGGCCTCCAGTCGCCCATCGCCGACAGGGGCCCGATAGCCTCCGCGCCGCCCAGGAACGCGCGGATTTGCGATCGGGTGCCAGTCGCCGAGCCGTTGGCGATGTAGGCCCGATTCCAAGTCGATATATCACCTTCTTGCCAGCTCCCCCTTCAAACTATTTCCCCACAGCTCTCCCTGAACTTCCCTCCCTCGTCGACCTGGGTCTGGGAGCCGTTTGCAGCCGACCTCCCACGCCGACCTCCCCGACTGGCGCTTCCCAGGCAGCCCTTTTTTTGCGTCTGCCTCAAACCTGTGCTGCTCCGGGGGGCCTTCGCTTCTCGTGAGGGTGGCCCTCCTGGCCCCTTAGCTCGTAAGGGCTGCTTCTCGCGAGGGTGGCCCGCCTGGCCCCTCAGCTCTCCGCCCTCCGCCGACCCTGGGCCTGGGAGCCACCGTGCGGCCGGCCGGGGCTCCCGACGTGGCCCTGGCGGACCAGAGCCAGCGCGCCGGCCCCAGCCTAGTGTCGGGCGTGTCCCCCTACAGGGGGATTTTCGACGAAAAATAATAATACCCCAAACATTGCCCCAAGAGTATTTTTAATCTTTCGTCGAAAATCCCCCTGTAGGGGGACAGGCCCGACTGAACCCCAGCCATCCGAGGCCGTGCTTTCTCCTGGCGCGGACCCCTGGAGGTGTGTGAAGTCCGCTCATCTCCCCATTCTCTCGTTATATACCGCTACTGTATCGGCTCAGGTATTGGCATACACAGACAGAGCGCTGCCCTCCGCGCAGCGCCCAGGAAAAGGAGCTCCTTGCTTCGTCCTTCCTCTGCCTCTACCTACGGACACCCGTATAGGATCGACCCCTCGGTCGTCTCCCTATACACACACTGGAGGTCTGGGCCTCTTGAGTCGTTGTCTGAGGGTCCTGGGGCCTGGCGAGGGCCCCCGGAGCCCGATCATGGGCAAACCCCCTCCGTCGCGTGCTTGTGCGCGTTCGCAGCCAGAGGCTCGTCCGGGAACCCCAGGCCGAGGGCTGCCGCGTCGCCGTGCAAGAGGGCCCGCCTTGCCCCGTTGCCGCCCAGGCGGGGTCTCAGACCAGGGCGGTCGCGGAGGAGGTCGAGCGCAAGGCGGCGGAGCAGGTGGAGGCCAGGCTGAGGGCGGCCGCCGAGGAGGCGCAGCGCATCGCCGCACAGCAGGCGCCTCAGGGGCAGCGTTGGAGGGGGGGGGATGGGCTCAGGGGGGGCGTGCCTCGCCTCGACCCCGGTCGCCCACACGTGCGTGGTTGCATTTGGGGGCCTACTGCCGATGCATCGGCGATGTACCGCCTATCAAGCTCGACGTCCCCCCCCCCCTCTTGCATTGCCGTGCCGAAGGTCCCTCCGTCCGAGCGCATACTGGACTTGCAAACGCGAGCTCACCGCGACGGCAGCCGCGACGGGGGCGTGGGCTCAGCAGGCTTTGAACCCCCTACCCCTCCTAGAAGCCTAGCAAGACAGCCTTCTGGCGTGGTCTGGGCATGATCCCCGCTCGACTGCTACATGGCCAAAACGTAGGTGTAGCCCAGCCAGTCGTAAGCCCCACCGTAAAACAAAGGGTGCCCGTAAATCCTGGGCGAGATGCAGAATGCCGAAATCTGATTGCGTCCTGTCGTCGTCTTGGGGTCATCTTGAGAGCATGTGCTGGTCATATTGGGATCGTGGTGTCGTGCTCTGGTATTGCTTCGGCCATTTTGTGCCCGCCTGGGGGTCGCATGGTCATTGGGACATCTCAGGATCAGCCGTTGTGCACACATGTATCTCTGTCTGTCTGTCTGTCTGTCTGTCTGTCTGTCTGTCTGTCTGTCTGTCTGTATATACATACACATATCATACACATATATAAGAAAGAGCGCGTTCTACTGCTGCTGGCGGAAAACCATGGGTGGTCACTGGGGGTTCCCAACCCGCCCCCACCCCCTTCGAAAACCGGGGGGGGTCACTACCGGTTCGACCCCCCCCCAGTCCATCATGAAAAGGGCGGGGGGGTAAATACGGGTTCGACCCCCCCCCTCGAAAACCGGGGGAGGTCACTACCGGTTCGAACCCCCCCCCCTTAGCTGCCGGCAAACGATTCCCGCTCCTCGGTCGGAACAGTTGGACAGTGGTGGGGATACTGGGACAGTGGTGGGAATGGTGGTGTTGGGAACGGTGGTGGTGGGCACAGTGGTGTGGGGACAGTGGGACAGTGGTGCGGACAGTGGCGGGGATGGTGGTGGTGGTGGGGACAGTGGTGAGGGGACAGCGGGACAGTTGTGGGGACAGCAGTGGGGACAGTGATGGGGACGGTAGCGGTGGGGACAGTGGTGAAGGCGGTGGTGGGGACGGTGGTGGGACAGTAGTACAGTGGGGAGAGTGGTGGGGACAGTGGGGACAGTGGGACAGTAGTACAGAGGGGAGAGTGGTGGGGACAGTGGGGACAGTGGGGCAGTGGTGGGGACAGTGAGGAAAGTGGGACAGCACAGTGGGACAGCGGCAGGGACAGTGGGGACAGTGGGACAGCGGTGGGAACAGTGGGGACAGAGGGAGAGTTATGGGGACCGTGGGGAAAGTGGGGAGAGTGAGACCGTGGCGGGACAAAGGTGGGGAGAGTGGGGACAGTGAGACACTGGTGGGTGCACTGGTGGGGACAGCGGGAACAATGGTGGGAACAGTGGGGACAGTGGGACAGTGGTGGGGACAGTGGTGGTGGGGACAGTGGTGTGGGGACAGTGGGAATGTGGGGGGGACAGTGGGGCAGTGGAGGAGACAGTGGTGGTGGGGATAGTGGTGAGGGCGGTGACGAGGACGGTGGTGGGACAATGGGACAGAAGTACAGTGGGGACACTGGTGGGGACAGTGGGGACAGTGGTGGGAACAGTGGGACAGCTCAGTGGGACAGCGGCGGGGACAGTGGGACAGTGGGGACAGTAGGGACACTGGGACAGTGGTGTGGACCGTGGGGGAAGTGGGGAGAGTGGGACCGTGGTGGGAACAGTGGTGGGGACAGTGGGGACAGTGAGAGACTGGTGGGGTCACTGGTGGGACAGTGGGGACGGTGCTGGCAACAGTGGGGACAGTGGTGGTGGGGACAGTGGTGCTGGGGACAGCAGTGGGGGATGTGGTGTGGACGGAGGTGGGGACCTGGGAGTCGTTTGCCAGCGGTGAGTAGGGGGGGAGGGGGGGGGTTTCGAACCAGTAGTGACCCCCCTATGTTTTTCGGAGGGGGGGGTTCAAACCCCTTGTGACCCCCCCCTCCGGCGGTTTTCTGGAGGGGTGGGGAGAGGGGTTAGGGGGGAAGGGGGGGGGGTTGCCGGGGAGAAGGGGGGGGTCCAGCAGGGGTGGGGGGGGTTTCGAAGGGGGGGGGGACCCCCGGGTTCCGGAGGAAAAGGGGGGGGAATTTTCCAGGGTAAAGCGGCGGTGGATCACGCTCTCTCATATAAAAAGATGTGCACGTATGCATGCATGTGTGTTCGTATGTATGTATGTATGCATGCATGCATGCATGCATGTATGTACGTACGTCTGCATGTACGCATGTATGTATGTATGTATGCATGCATGCATGTATGTATGCATGCATGCATGTATGTATCTGTGTGCATGGGTGTATGTATGCATGAATGCATGCACGTGTGTGTGTGTATGCATGCATGTATGTTTTGCTGTCTGTCTGACTGTATGTATGTCTGTCTGTCTATATGTATGTCTTTGCGTATGTATGTATGTGTGTATTTATGTGTGTATGTATGTATGTATGTATGCATGCATGTATGTATGTATGCATGCATGCATGCATGCATGCATGCATGCATGTAGTATGTTTGTATGTGAGTATGCGTGTATGTGTGTATGTGTGCATGTGTGTATGTGTGTATGCCTGTATGTATGCATGCACGTATGTGCGTATGTGTGCATGTAAACATGTATGCATGCATGCATGCATGTTCGTATGTATATATGCATGTATAGATGTATGTAGTTATGTGTATGTATGCATGTATGTATATGTGTATGCATGTATGTATGTGTGTATGTTTGTATGTTTGTAGTTTTGTGTGTTTGTAGGTATGTGTGTGTACATGTATGTATGTATGTATGCATGCATGTATGTACGTATGTACGTATGTATGTATGCATGCATGCATGCATGCATGCATGCATGTATGTATGTATGTGTATGTATGTATGTATGTATGTATGTAGGCATGTATGTATATGTATGTATGTATGTATGCATGCATGCATGCATGCATGTATGTGTGTATATGTATGCATGTATGTATGTATGTATGTACGTATGTATGTATGTATGTATGTACGTACGTACGTACGTATGTATGTATGTATGTATGTATGTATGTATGTATGACTATATATGTATGTATATGTATGTATATATCTATATATGCATGTATGTATGTATGTATGTATGTATGTATATGTGTGTATGTATGTATGTATGTATGTATGTATGCATGCATGTATGTATGTATGTATGTATGTATGTATGTATGTATGTTTATACGCACGTATGTATGTATGCATGTATCATGTATGTATGCATGTAGGTAGGTAGGTAGGTAGGCATGCATGCATGTATGTATGTATGTATGTATGTATGTATATATGTACCTATGTATGCATGTATGTATGTATGAATGAGTAAATCTATGAATTAATGTATGACTGTATGTGTATATGTACACATCTATATTGTCAATCCGGGATTGTGCGCACCATCCCCTCCCGCAACGGGACCCCAGGGATCCGTGGCCCTGGGGGCCCCCTGAACGCTCCTGTGGAAGTTCCCCGAGGCTTTGCCAGGCGTAGGCAATGGGCCCAGATCGGTCAGCAGGGCGGCCGAACGGCCCCGCGAGGGCCCCTAGAGGCCCCAGACGTCCACCAGACGCCCGGAGATGACCCAAGGAAGACCCTCACGGGGCATTCGAAACGTAACAAGTATTGATTTTCCCATTGTGTTTGTACGATTCTGGGAATGCTCTGTTTTGCGGTCTTGGGCGTCCGAGACCGCCCAGGAGGGTCGAACATCGCCCCACAACTACCCAAAAGGGCTTCCAGGCGGTTCAAGAGAGCCCCACGACGGCCCAACAGGGCCCCAAGATGGCCCGAATAGAGAGAGCCCTATGCCGGTCCAAGATGGCCCCAAGACGCCCCCCCCCCCCCCCAGAAGCATTCCAAATCGTGACCCCGTAGTTCAGGGAGACCGCGGTTGGAAGCATGGGGGCCCGAGGAAGCCCCCAGAGGCCGTCAGAAGGCGCTTAGAAGGCTTCCAGAAGACTCCGAGAAGCCCGTAAGAACTTTCGTGAGGCCACCAAGATGCCCGCCAAGGAAGAACCTCCGCAGAAAGAGCTCAGGAATATTTGGGAACATCGCAGGGTAGGGCAATAGTGAGGAAGAGGAAGAGAGATTGATAATCTATTACATTCGTCTAACGAGGATGCCAGAGTAGGCAACACTATGTTATCGTTAACTTTTCTGATTTGTTTCTGCCCTTCCGCTTGCATGACCAACTTCAAGGTCCAAGGTGCATGACGCGAAGCGCCAATGTAGTCTTGAACATTTATCTACGTACAAATTTGTGTGCATATATACACATGTTTGTGTATGTATGCACATCTGTATGTATATCTGTACGAATTATCCAAACGGTGCCTGCACTTAGGGGTTCGTCGTACTTCTGGACCGAGCAGCTGGACCTGAATATCGGTCTGGCGGCTATGTAGCCGCCGTTGCCGGCGGTGGCTCATGGGGGCGTTTCGGCGGCCGAGGGGGGCGTGGCGGCGGCCGTGGAGAACGTGGAGATGGTTGCAGCCGCAGATGAGGTTGAGGAGGAGGTGGTGTTGGAGGTGCCGATGAACGGGTTCGTCGAAGGCGGCGGTGGCTTCGTTGGCATGGCCGAAGCGCGCGAAGAGGCTGACGTGGTGGCAGGCCCCGCGGAGCCAGAGGATAATGCCTCTGCGCCAGAGCAGAGCGGCGCAGGCTCGCATTCTGCGCAATCTGCGCAGTCGGTGGGACCACTGTCCATTTGCGGGGGCGGCGGTGCGTGCGTCGCGCCGCCGCCGCCCGCGAAGCGCGCCGGGGTCCCGATGGCCGCGGCGAAGGGCGGTTCCGTCAAGGCCCAGTAGACAGCCGCAGCCGCAGGGCCGAAGGCCGAGCCG